AAAGAAGAAGAAACAACGAAGGAAGCTCAGGAAAACAAATATTAATAAAATTGTGAACTTAATCGGGAGATTAATTGCCAATGGACAGCTTTTCGCGCTACACGACCGGTAACTGCCATAAGTCAGCGTACGACGGCGTTTTCGGGGCAAAACAGAAGTTGGGTAGTCTGCCCCCATCCACGCTCGCCCCACGCCTCGACGAGTATGTTGAGATTTTCGGCGGCTATCAGGCGGCGGCGGCCTCGCCGCCCTTTTCGTTGTTTGTCCTCGATCTCCCGCTCGACGATGGGTCCAACAAGCTCCTTCGCGAATTTGACTATGCAGAGGTTTTTGGGGATTGTGAGGACGTGGCTTTCGGCTCCACTTTTGAGGATTTGGTCAGGCAGTCGAGCGGCGGCGACAGAGGCTATGGCTCCTCGGATTACGGCGAAGATGAATCATGGTATTTTACCTTCGTTTACTCTTTGATTTCGTCGCTATCGGAATTGCAGTTTATTTTCTTATTCACCATTTTTTTTTTTTTGGGTAAACAAATTTAGCAGGGATTTTTAAGAATTCAGCTGATTTTTTTTAGTTTCTAGGATGCAAAATAATTTTAAGAAAAAAATTATAATAATACGACTAAAAGGCGCCCAAGTAAAGATAAAGAAAATTTTAAGTGATGCAGTAAAATTGTGGTAAAAGCTATAAATGTCAAAAGAAAAGAATTGATGGTGATCTTGGGATCAATTTTGTAAGGTTTTAATTCGAGCTGACTCGTTTCATAAATGAATTGAGCTAGTTTGACAAATGAACTGAGTCGAAATCAACTCGTTGAGACTTTTTTTTTCTCCGCAAGATAAAAACGACTCGTTGAAACTTGAAAATAGAAAAATTTACATAATTCGTGAGCTCTTGGGGTATGTTTGACTCGTTGAGGGTTGAAAATAAAAAAATTTACATAATTCGTTGAACTCTTAGGATATGTTTGGTTCAACGGAGGGAATGAGAGGAGAAGAATTTTAATGGAAGTGAGGGAAGGGAAGGAGAAATGATGTAAATAATTTTACTTTGAGAGTGCTTGTCTAGATTGTTGTGGTGCATGTTTTTGAGATTCACCAAATGGATGTCAAGAAGACATTTTTGAATGGTGAATTTGAAGAAGAAATTTACATGGAACTCGAATGTTTTGTAGCACCTGAACAAGAGGAAAATGTGTGCAGATTGATCAAATCCTTATACGGACTAAAACAAGCTCTGAAAAAATGGCATTTGAAATTTGATGGCGTGATGTTGTCAGATGATTTCAAAATCAACGAATGTGACAAATGTGTTTATGTTAAGAACACATCAAATACATTGTAATTGTATGTCTATACGTAGACGATATTTTGATCAGGAGGAGTAGCCATGAAATGATCATGGATACGAAAAGAATGTTGGAAGAAATTTTGACATGAAAGATATGAGTAAAGCTGATGCATTTCTTGAAATAAGAATTATCAAAGCTCAAGATGAAATTGTCTTGTCACAATCTCACTACGTAGAAAAAGTGCTCAAGAAATTTTATGACTATGACGGTCCGCTATGCAGGACATCCCTTGATCTTAGCATAAATCTGGTAGCCAATAAAGGTCAACTAGTAGCTCAGTTGGAATATTCGCGGATAATAGGGAGTTTGATGTACTTGACGAATTGTACATGATCAGACTTGGCATATCCGGTTAATAAATTGAGTAGATTTACCAGCAATCCAAGTCATGAGCATAGAAATGCTTTGAAAAGGGTACCTGAAGTGAATAAGATTTCACCCGGGCTCCTTCAACTCGAACGGCCACCGGACCTGCAAGAACCCAACGCCGGGAGGAGTCCCGGCGTCGGGCCTCCGACGCTCAAGTCAGTATCACTCCAAGTCTCAAGAGTATAATTATGAATGTAGAGAGAGTGTGAGAATGGGATACCTTAGCCCCTTTTATAGGGGGAGTGTACCTTATGGCCCAAGTTGGGCTTGTCCAATAGCATCATGCCACGTGTCCTAGCCATGCGTAGGCTTATTCTTCAATATATTCTTTTTTTATCCATTAAACCCGGTCTAGTATAATATCCTATATCATCTAATCCCCCCACTCTGGTCGAGTAAGCATGACTCGATCTAAGAGTGAAATTCCTCTTTGGGCTGTTTCCGTCAGCTTGTCACTGAGGTTATAATTTGAATAAATCATCGACCACCAAATAGTCACCAAACCTCCCAATGAGTATCGGGAACTCCAAATGAACACCGAATGACCACTAAGGTCAGAAACCGAAAGACCCGCCGCTGAGGTCGAATACCGAAAGACCTGCTTCTGAGGTCGAAAACTGAGAGACCCTCCACTGGGGTCGAATACCAAAAGCCGAACAACCACTCAGGTTGAAAACGAGAGACCCGGCACTGGGGTCGAACACCGAAAGCTGATCGACCACTGAGGTCGAAAACCGAGTGACCCGCCACTGGGGTCGAATACCAAAAGCTGATCGATCATTGAGGTCGAAGATCGAGTGACCCACCACTGGGGTCGAATACCGAAAGCTGATCGACCACTGAGGTCGAAAACCGAGTGACCCGCCACTGGGGTCGAATACCGAAAGTTGATTGATCATTGAGGTCGAAGATCGAGTGACCCACCACTGGGGTCGAATACCGAGAGACCGCTGATGAGGTCAAAAATCAAAAACCGAATGACCACTGATAAGGTCTAAAACTGAAAACTGAGTGACTGTCGATGAGGTCGAAAACCGAAAACCGAAAACCGAAGTCTTGAATTTAAAAATTTGAACTTACGTCTTGTTGTTTTTCGATCACCATGTTCGAGCTCTTTTCATTCAGAGATAAACCTTTCCTACCACCTCGTCCTATCATCGCCCCCTCAGTTCAAAATTTGAAATTCAACCCTGCTGTTTATTCTCTCGAAAACCGAATGTCCTGACACCACACCGAAGTCGAAAGCCGAATTTTGACAAAACCCAATAAAATCATCAACCTGAACAACTTGGCTCCGTGAACTGCTTTGAGTGAACTCCCTCGACCTGCCACTGAGGTCTATCGAGCTATCCATAATGAACTCCATCTCCCTGCCCTTGAAGTCGAAAAATAAATTCGACGAAACCAAGAACCAAATAAAGATCATCGACCTGCCACTGAGGTCTCCAATAGGATTCATGTCTTCACCGACCCAACGCTAGGATCGACCACCCAGCCCGGAGGCCTTAATCATGGTGGATTTTGGTCTTCGAACACATGTCCACCCTCGAAGGAGTGGTCGTTATATGTTACCACCCAGCCCGGAGACCTTAGTCATGGTGGATTTTGGTCTTCGAACACATGTCCACCCTCGAAGGAGTGGTCGTTACATGTGACCACCCAGCCCGGAGGCTACATGTCCACCCTCGAAAGAGTGGTCGTTACATGTGACCACCCAGCCCGGAGGCCTTAGTCATGGTGGATTTTCGGCCTCGGGGCCACCAATTAACGTCTGCCCGGCCCGCTAATGGGAGCGTTCGAACATACGACCACACAGGGTGGATTTTTTGACTCCTAAACAGCTCGAACACTTCGACCTGCCACTGAGGTCGAAAAGAAAACACACCAAACACTACGAGACAGAATAATAATTGATCATTTTCATTAGTCCCATCAAATGCATAGTTATATCGAACAAAATAAAAAATCAAGCATAATTTTCAAACTCCCTTTCATGTCTGTACACGACGACCTGAGTTGATGTTTGCTTCATGCTTTCCACTTCTCACCATAATCAATATCCAGTACACCTGCTCATTCATTTTCCTCAGCAAGAATTCATCAAATTTCATTAGTCGTATTTTATCCACATCATCTAATTTGCAATCCCGATAGCGATATTAACAAGAGAGAGATAAATCAAAACAACCATATTGGTCCATATGCTTTTATACCATACCTCAATCTACATGCAAGTCTTTTTACCGCGATATAAAATCGCATAAACACCCACTCACATGTACAGTCGACCAGAATATCACAAAGCCATGAATTTAACAAACAGTTACAACAGACCATACTCTGCAGCTACAAACAATCATTCAACGAATGCACCAAACAAAAATTCGAATGAATTATTCTCAATACCGAGCTCCTTAGTCATGACGACTCAAGACTGGCCAGCCCGAAGGCCTTAGTCATGCCAGATTTTTGTTCAAGCCTCCACGAACACCCCATTTTCTGCATTTTGTTAGTCATTCGAATAGTAATTTTAAACATATCCTTATACGCCATAATATCAGCAACATTTCACCCAAAATATTCAAACAATGAACATTCCTCCCAGAAAAGAATGCTAAGAGACTCCATATGTCACAAAATAGTGTCAGTCGATCTTGACCATCGACAAGAGTTGAGACAAATTTATACCTGAAGGTCGAGAATGCCACTCCCAATTATCCTACCTCTCCAAAAACGAATTTCTGGCTTTGAAATTGCCACCTGCGATCGGCACCATCCAAACTCGTCCCTCCTTATCACCCTGCTTTGATGGCTTCGTGCTTGTACACCTTGTCCTCGAAACTCCACAATTCGTCCACCGTAGCTTGTCGAGACTCGGGTTATTTCGATGTTTACTCGACAAGAATTCAAAGAGATATTATTATCCACATTATATTCACGTCATTCATTTTGCAATTTTTCACGCAAGAAAAACAAGAGATCAAATACAAACATCACCATCTCCTTGATTTAAGACATGCTCGAGCAATGACATGCTTAAAAAATTATGAATAGTCAATTCAAACACAATCACAAGATATCCGCAATCCGAAACCACGACCCGCATTTATTTTCAATCAAATAAGTTTTCCACGGATAAATCAAATAACTCCACGAATATATCAAATATTCTCCACAAATAAATCATATAATATCTTCTCAGGCAAATCAAATATTTTCACGAATCGATCAAATAATACTCCACGAATAAATTCAATAATTCTCTACAAATAAATCAAATAATCCTCACGAATATATCAAATAACCTTCACAAATATATCAAATAGACTCCACGAATATATCATATAATTCTCCTCGAATAAGCCAAATAATATCTCCTCAAACGAATTGATTATCACCACGAATAAATCACATAATATCTCGAGCAAATCCAATAATACTCCACCATAAATCCAATATATTAAATATTCTCCTCGAATCAATCAAATATCTTACTCAAATAAATCAAATAATACTCCACGAATATCCAATAACCTCCACAAATATATCACATATTTTCCACAGATAAATCAAGTAATCTCCAATTTTCCACCATTGAAAAATCACTCGAGCCCATAATTTAAATTAATCTCACACCTTCATCATGAGAATTTTATCTCAAATTACCTCATTGTCCGTGTTGAATCGTCCCGAATTAATTTTGGGCTCGAACCGGGAGTGTTGGATCCTCTGGGCTCGAGCTAGACCATATGGGCGCAGCATTCAGCTATTGGGCCGAGCTGGTAGCTCTCTGGGCCATACCGGAGGGAATTGGACGCAAAACAGGCTATATATACACTATTGGGCCGCGGAGTCACTGGGCTGAGGAGAGCGGGCCAGACGCGGGCCCTAGCGGGCTGGAACTGGGGGAAGCGCGGGCTGGAGCGTGGGCTTTCTCGGGCCGGGACGCGGGCCAAGCTGTGAGAGAAGGCGAGCCGAGCGGGCTGAGTGCGGCCCGCGCGCTGGGGCTACTGGATTTTGGGCCATTCCTGTTGGGCCTCCATCATTTCTGGGCCTCTTGCTTCTGGGCTGGATCAAGGATGATGGACCTGAACTTCGGGCCACCTACTCTGTGCGCAAAGGACCCAAATCACGCATGGCTAAGCAGCTGCAAGGGTGACCTGCCGGAAAAATATGGCGGTCGGGAAAAAAATCTCCGGCTCCGGCGAAGATGATCGGACGATGGTGCGCCTCGGCAAGGGGATTTCAATGGTATTCTCGGTTTGAAGTGGTTCGCCATAAATCGTCGGAAAATAGAGGAAGATGACCAAATTTTGACCAAATCCTTTCTAGATCTAGTAACTTTGACCGCAAAATTGACGGCCTTCTAGTAGGAATTTTTGCTCGAAATTTTAAGGGTAGAACGAGCACGAGAAGAGCTTCACGGTGATGTAGAGATTTTCTCGTCAGAGGATTTTTTGTAGTGGCTAGTGGCGGCGGCGGCTGCGGCCGGCGAAGATCAGGCTCTGTAGATTCGCCTCGTCGAGAGGATTGCGGTGGTACCCTCGAATTTTCCATAGCCCTCATGGATCGTCAGGAAAATGCATTTGAATGTCTGATTTTGACCAATTTTTTACTAGATCTGGAAACTTTGACCGCAAAATTGACGGCCTTCCCGGAGGAATTTTTGCATGAAATTTTAAGGGGAGATCCACCTTGAAGAGATCTATCCAATGACGTAAAGAATGTTCCGATCGGAGCACGTTTTCCGACGGGCGGCGGTGGCGGCGGCCGGTGGAGAAGAAGGAGCTTGCTAGAAAATTTCTCGAACATTTTGGTCGGAACTACGTTTGGATTTTTGAACGGGTCCCACAGATGGCGCTAATGAAGTGAATAAAATTTCACCCGGGCTCCTTCAACTCGAACGGCCATCGGACCTGCAAGAACCCAACGCCGGGAGGGGTCCCGGCGTCGGGCCTTTGACGCTCAAGTCAATATCACTCCAAGTCTCAAGAGCATAATTATGAATGTAGAGAAAGTGTGAGAATGAGATACCTTAGCCCCTTTTTATAGGGGGAGTGTACCTTATGGCCCAAGTTGGGCTTGTCCAATAGCATCATGCCACGTGTCCTAGCCATGTGTAGGCTTATTCTTCAATATATTCCCTTTTTATCCATTAAACCCGGTCTAGTATAATATCTTATATCAGTACCGAAGTACTTAAAGTACACCCTTGAATACGGGCTAAAATACTCGAGATACCCAGTCGTACTTGAAGGGTGCTGTGATGCAAGCTGGATATCAGATTCGAGACATTCTCACTCCACGAGCGGATATATTTTCTGTATTGGAGAAGATGCAGTTTCGTGGAAATCCAGAAAACAAACTTGTATAGCTCGGTCAACTATGAAATCAGAGTTCATCGCTTTAGATAAAGCTGGTGAAGAAGTTGAGTGGCTTCGAAACTTTTAATCCAATATTCCATATTGGAATAAGCCTTTGCCGCCTGTGATGATTCACTGTGATAGCCAACCTGCTATAGGAAGGGCGCAAAGCAACATGTATAACGGTAAGTCTAGACATATTCGTAGTAGACATAATTCCATTCGACAATTGATCACAAATGGTATTATTTCCGTTCACTATATGAAGTCTAAGGAAAATTTGGTTGATCCTTTCACTAAAGGAATGAATAGAGATCAACTGGGAATACTGTTACAGGGAATTGACTTAAAAATCCACAAAGAAAAGAATGATCATAATGGTAACCTTACTTTGCTAAATGGAGATCCCATGAACTTGGTTCAAGGGAGAATTAAGCTATGAAAATTCAGCTGAGCACTTGGAACATAAGAATGTCCAAAGTTATTCCTTAAAGTACTCTCAGTGCAAGATTACTTGTTGATTGTGGTGAGGGTAAGTCATTTGGACTTTTACTGTATCCATAACCTTTAAAGGTGGAGTAATACATGATATTCTTGATAGAGAGGTCACATGTATAAGTGTGAAGTGAGGACTTCAAATGTAAGCACTTATGAATCCAAAATATTTTCCATGGCCAAAACGGACACAACAATAAAACGAAATGAAGTGAAGGATCTATTGCGTGAATGTCATTGTGTTGGTGTACACTATGGAGGAATAGTTTAAGGCACTATGTCCACTAAGCCGCCAGGGCGTCCGATGATGTTTACTAAGAAAGGTTCAAAGCCACAAACTACCTTTTATGATGCAATAGAGTTTAGTGAGGATTGAGCTCAAAAGTCTGCATACATAGATACATTTGATTTATGCTTATGTGGAGGATTGTTAGAAGATAAGTGTACAACAAATGGGCCCTTCTACTATTGATGGGTAAGAGGAATAGTGTAATTTTGTCCTCTCCCAATTAATAAAAGTGCAGCCCATGTCTCCCTATACTATTTTGAAGTAAAAGCAACAATGTAGTGGCAATTTGCCAACTTGATTATATATATATTTGTGTTCGGTTGTTGCTGAAGGAAAGAAGAGGAAAAAAAGAAGTGAACAGATAAGCATTTTTGGAGTAACAAGAAAATACGAGAGGAAGAAAATAGAAGTGCAGAGAGCACTGAAATAAAAACAGAGAAGAAAAAATTTTGTTAAATAAAATCAGAGAATTTTGTTAGATATATCAACTCTGTTTCAGTTCGTCGGAACTCGTAAGTCTGGTGTGTTATAGATTTCGAGAAAATGGCCGTCGTATCTTTGAGGACGATACGACTGAACCGTCACGGGACGTATTCGTCTTGCGGAAAGAGTTTACTCGTCTCGACTAAAATCTTTCCCATTTTCAAGTTGTAATTTATTTTCAGTTCTTTTGTACTTTTATAATTTTAGTTCATTTGTAAGAATTGAAAAATACACTTCAGTTCGTAAGATTTTCATAAATTTTGAAACCAAGTTTTCTAACAAAAAATAAAGTTAGTTAAACCTTACATTAAGAAGTTAAATAAAAAAGTGAGTCTTAAATTGAATGACCTAAAGTGTAAGTCTTCTATTGAAAAAAAATAAATTTATTTCTTAAATTGATATAATTCCAAAGAGTTGAGTTGTAATGGAACTTTCCCATTTAAAAATATGTGATTGAATCGTCAATAAACTAAAATTGTTATGATATTAATATTATTTAATTATATTAACAAAAAGTAGGAGTGTAAGTTAAATTAAAGTTAATTTGAATTTTGAATTAAAAATATAAAAAAAGTATCGTCCCATCAAAATAAGAAAAATTGGTATTTAATTGCGGCTGACCGTTAGATTGGAATGCATAACAATAACTACTGTAAAATAAAATTTTCCTTCAACAATTACGTTAGGTGAAGTGAAAGTAGGAGCAGTATTGCTTGTATTATCATTTTTTTTAGTCGTCTAACCTGAACCAAAAAGTCGTATAATTGATTATTAAATGTCAATTTGACTGATGTTATGGACTAAAATACATAATCAATCAGTACATTCAGTACTATGGATTAAGTCAGATCATTGTTCAACTGCATAAATGAAGTTGTTGGGTAGTAGCGAATCTCAACGAATTATCTTTAAAATTTTAGCAGCACAACACAATCTTTGTAGCCACGTGATAATGACAAATTAATTATCCGTAAAAGAATAATGTTAGAATTTTTGATGATATTGATTCTGCACAAGTTTTTGTATGACAACATAATTAAGCGGACGACCTGTCATACTATTTAAACAAAATTATATATTTATATTATTAAATATCATATACTTTTATTTATATCATTTGTTAAAGTATGATATATTTTAGCAAAAAAATATATATATATATATATATATATATTTATATAAAAAAAAAGTATGTCTTGATAATGAGACCAGCAGGGTACTACACCAACCACCATTGTATGTAAGAACTGAATCAACCAAACTAAGTGGCAATGCCCAAATAATTAATGAACCCAATAAATGGAGAAATTCTCATGTGCCCCAACTTTTATAGCTGCTTTGAGTTTTTCAAAGGAGAATATTCATCAAATGTCCTATGTTATTTATAACACGACTTAATTCAGATTTATATTAAATGCAATTTAACCTGAATGTTTTTCTCCACTCTCATCTGAAAATGCGCTGCGCCACTGCACAGCCTCTTGCATACCATTCATTTGAATAGATGTGTTAAATGTGAGCATCCTACTAGCAATTAGCAAATGAAAGACATATCACAAATGCTACCTAAGTTGTCTGTCCATTATATATTCACAGACTCATAAAAATTTGCATACTTATACAATAAAATTTCTTACTTTTCCTTATTATATTAGAATTTGAAGTATGACATATAAGTGTAAAAATATGTATATTTGCTGAAAATGTATGGTTGACAGAAGACTTACGAAAGATAGGTATATTTCAAGGTCTGGAGCTTCTCCGGTCAGAGCCTCTTCGAGACGAGCACGTCGATCATGGTTGTACGCGTTCTTGAAAAGACGACTCTCGTTTGCATAACATCAACTCGACACATCTCACTTTCTAGAGATGCTTAGATACAATTTTTTTCTAGAAAATTTTAATCATTTTTAACCAATCACTTTTTTTAACTCAACTTTAGCTCAACCCTACTATCCTCAATATTATCAATACTAGTTTTTGTCCCGTGCATTTGCACGGAAAACTATATGATACATGAAAAAATAATAAAAATTATAAACAATAGTAAAAATCATAACAAATTCATTGAAAAAAATTAAGAAAAAAAATATAAATATTCTTAAACACTTCTTTATAAAACAACGTCGTGGTTTTTCTATCGTCAAAATCTCCCTCAGCTCAAATTAAAATCTTCAAACCCCACTTACTCGTAACTCTAAAAAGCGCCACGTATAATTGCTCATGACTAAATGCAGAGCTCTTCAGTAGTAAGCCGACGTGCAACAAAGACTGTCTTCGACTCTTATTGATCATGTCATAGCATAGGAAACACTTCTATATATTGTTTGTCCTTGACTCTTATTGATTGATAGAGATTGTCCTTGCTTCTTAATAAAAAAATACCATCTAAATATAAATGAGTAAATATAATATTAATTTTTAATATAAACAAAAAATTTAAAGTAATTGATAATGAGTATAGAATTACCCTTGCGGATTCAAGCTATTTCAACGATGTTCTTTTTATATATCTAAGATTTAATTTTTTTTTTCTGATTTATATGAATATAAGCACATTTGACTAATTTTTATAAAATTTATTGAAAAAAGTTACTATTTTTTTGAAAAACTGATAAGATATTAAGATAATACTGTACTTAGCATAAATGTGGGATTAATTAAAATAAATTTTTTTAATTTAGTCATTAACTAATTAAATTTAACTATAAAAGATCTTCTTAAATGTGAGATTAATGAGTAATTAATTAAAAAAAATATAACTCCTTTTGGAGGGAAAGTGAAAATATTTTTATTAAATGTTTTATTAAATGGAATTAGCTAGCAATTATATATATATAGATAATTAAATAATACTATTCAATCATTCTTACATATTACATCAACTGTAATGCACTGTTCATCAATTCACAAAATGTTAACTAATCATCAACTTCAGATCATCTTTCTTTTATTTTTATATCAAATTAATTTTATTTATTTTATTTTATATATTATTTTAATATAAATTAAAAATTCTATTAACATTTACCATCCATTTTTTTCTTAAAATTAACCATATTAAACAAGAAAATTGAAATGAAATTAATATATTTTATATCCAAGCACTCTCGNACCCCACTAGACTGGACAGCCCCAAAATTTTGTCATTTCTAAGAGCATCTTCAATGCATTGGGTCTAGTCTTGCCTATGTGGCAAGTAAATAAACCCAAGTCTTAGATGACGTAGATAAAATTATGTAAGATTAATAAAATTCACTCCAATGCAAAGAGACTAGGTCTCTACTTGGGTCTAAAATGGACTTAAGGGGAGACCGGGTCTCTTTTTCTGGCTACCACATCAGCAGGACCCAGTCTACTTTTATTTGCATTGGAGAATATATTTTTTTGGACTGGGTCTATTTCTTATGTGGCATGTAATTTTTTGGGATTGAACCCAAAGCATTGTAGATGCTCTAAAACCCCCACGGCCCCATGTTTTCTTATTCCCATTCTACCCCTCCATCCGATGTCTTCTCCACCAGCAGCCCCACAACGGAGAAAAAAACACGCACTTTAAACTGACGTATTTTTTTTTAAAAAGGAGAAGAAAAAAAAAACAAAAGCACATCGTCAATGGACAGCATCTCTCACTCACTCAAGCGGAGCTTCACATCTACCTCCAATGTTGCTGCCTTCGCTTCTGATAAGCTCGTCTACGACGGCTTTTTCGCCGGCTACCGGAACTCGGGTCGACCCGCCCTCTCCCCGCGCCCCGAGGACTATTCCGATGTTTTCAGCGGTTTTCACGCATCTCGATCCTTCTCGATCCCCGTCCTCGACCTCCCGGCCGCCGGAGACGACCCCGCGCTCCTCCATTTCTGCGGCGGTCCTGACTATGCCGAGATTTTCGGGGATTCTGGAGGCGAGCATTTTGCGGCGACCTTTGAGGATTTAATCAGGCAGTCCGCCGGCGGAAATGGCTCCTCCGTCGAGCCAGGGTATACCAATTACTGTTTCCTGAAACCAATGTTTGGTGTAGATCACCTTTTCAGTTTTTCTTCCCATTTTCTCTTACGTTTTATCTTTTAGGATATGAGTATACGAATCTCACGTATGACACCATACTGACCTGAACCGAGTGTTTTATGAGGGAGAATGTGACTTGTGAGACGGAAAAGTCGGTCTGGGTTTTAGTTTTCTATTTTAATCTCTATTTTCAGTTAATTAAACGTACTAATAAATGCTAGTAAAATCGGGTTTGGGGTCTGCAGAATAGAATATGTTAAAGACAAGCAGGTTGCTGCCATGTTTTTGGTATGGAGCTATAATACCAAAGGGAATTATCTATTTTTTTTTTTTTTTTTGTTGGATAAGCAAAACACTCGTTTCTCAAAGGCATGTTAATTTCTTCATTTTCATTTCTTTCCACCGCCTGTTTGTGAAAGATTCTGGTAGTGGTATAATGAATAATGCCACTTGCATATATTTTTCGCTGCAGGAGTCCCGCACAAAGTGGGTCAATGTCTGATGAGTTCGATGGTCTGGCAGAATCGGACAAGAGTCTCAGGCTATCAGATGATGATGGTCATCAGTCACTGGAGAACTCCACTGAGCAGTTAAATGCATTTCATAACAAGTCCAGTCCAAGTAATACCGAAACATTGTTAGTTGGGAAGAGTCAGGTAAAGAATATTACTGCTCTTCGTGGATATACCCTCAATCATTATGAAAGCCCTGTTTCCTGGGATGGGGAAGACGAGAGCTGCTCCGTAAGTGTGCTTGACGATCTGGATCACGACGCTTGCAAAGAGTACAGCAAAAGTGTTGTAGATGAAAAACAATACAGTACGTTTCCAGCAAATTCTGTACACAGGGGCTCGAGTGCACCAAGAAGTGATTTAAATCTTTCAGAAAAACATGGTAATTCAGCTTCTAAACATTTCTTGAGTGTATCTGATATCAGTCTTCGAACAAAGCCTTCACGATTGCCGCCGCCTTCGAGACCTCCACCTGCCTTAGTGTTGAAGAAAGGAGAAAGTGACAGATTGAGGTCAAAACTCAATGCTTCTAAAAATGCATCATTTTCTTTTGATGTGGAAGCAGATGTGACGTTATCTCCTGACGGCAGGGAGGATGGAAATAAGAATTTTCAACCGAAGCATGAAAGGGCTAAAGAATCCTTGGAGAGGAAGGACCTTATGAGCAACTGTGCAATGACAGCTGAGGAGGAAACAAGCAAGGCCGCCAGGGCAAGAAGCAGCATTAAGGATGAGAAATTGCTCAAATCACTTGGAAAAGAAACAAAAGTCTCGATACCTTTCATTGAAGAAAAGATGTCTGCAACAAGGGGTACTGAAGATATTTCAGGATCGTACAGCAACTCTAGCATCGACAGTTGTGCTGAGGGTGTTGCGTGGAGGGAAGAAACCGAATATTTTGAGGTCATTCAAAAGAAAGTTAAAGTTTCCAAGAAAGATCAAGGATTGGAGGAAGAAAGGGCACTGCTTGAAATGACCAGCAAGCAACAGAAAATATTGAAGACAAGGTTGCATGATCCAAATGGGTTTCGAGAGGAAGTGGAACCGAACAAAATGGCACATCAATGTGATTCACATAAGGCTGTGCCAGAAAGTATCCAGCAATTTGGAGATAGTGAAAGGCTACAGAAAGACCTCACTGTGACTGTAGAGGTGCTCCAAGAAGCAGAGGGAAATTTGAGTGAAGTGGTTGTCGATGCAAAAGTCAAGGTATCTCCTAAAGGAATGGATACTGAGGAAGTGTTTATTGTAGATGCTACATTGATAAAACAGAATACTGTGTGCCAGGGAGGACTTGATGATGTTGAACGAGCAGAAACCAAAGAAAGAGTGAAGTTGAGAAAAGAACCTGAAGGAACTAAGATAGCTTCTCAAGAAGGATATGAAAATGAAACCAGAAAGACCCATGGGCCTAATGGAAATGAAACGATCACTAAAGAGGCTAAAAATTATGAAGAGCATGACAAAAAGATATATAGAGTGGCTGGGCCTGGAAATTTTGAAAATCAACACCTTACTTGTGAAGATGAGAAAGATGAACTGAAATATAGAAATGTTTTTCAGCAAGTTATAGATGAGAAAGAAGAGAAAATGGGTCTTAAAATTAAGATAACAGAAGAGAGATCTGGAGATGCTTCTAGAGGACGTATAGTTGAGATTCTTCAAACAAAAGGACATACGAACTTGAATAGTGATGGTGCACTGGAAGAACTGAGTGGACATACTGAAGAGATTGAGGACGCTGAGAGGAATGAACATGAAAGAGAAGTTGAATGGGACATGGATAATCATGTCATCTTTGAAGAGAATCAGTTGAAAGCATTTGATTGTGGACGTGAACTTGATGGAGCTGTTGCAATCACTGGTTCAGGTAAGCATGATGATGAAGAAATTGTACAGTTGAAGGCTGAACCTAATAAGAGCATATATGAAGCTGTGTCTAGAGTCGAAAGCACATCCGTTAAAGGAAAATCCAAGGGATTTGGCAAAAGTAAAAATGAGTCTGATGGTGGAAGTATTGATAGTGCAACAATCAACACTTTAGAGTCCTCTTTATTACCTAAGCAGATGGCAGATTTAAATATTTATGCCCGTGGGATGGGAATTCCATGTGTTATGGGTGACAACGTGTCCTCTGATTTTGCATATGGTCTTGAACGTAAGAAGGTAGTTTACACTGAAGATGATGGAACTCAATTTATGAACAAAGGGGCAGATATCAGTGATACTTTCACTCCATATCAAGTCATGAGAGAATCAACTACAAATGGAAGGAATGTGGAAGATGCTTCATCAGTGCTAAAGCATAATGGTGACACTTCATTTTCGATAAAAAATTCTACCCATAGAATTGAAAGAAAAGGCTATATCATGAAAGAGAAACTTGACATGAAAGACCAAAAAACAGGGGAAAGAATAAGAAGAGATATTGAGCTTGAAAATGAACATATCAAAAGACTAGAAGAAGAGAAGGAAAGGGAAAGGGAAAGGGCCAAGGACAGAATGGCTGTTGGCAAAGCAGATCTTGAATCTCGTGACAAATCATATGCTGAAGTTCATGAAAGAGCAGAGAAAGCTACTGTGGACAGGGCTACTGCTGAAGTAAGGCAAAGAGCCATGGCAGGGGCTCGGCAGAGACTAGAGAAGGCATCAACAGAGACTAAGCTCAGGGATGAGCGAGCTGCAGTAGAGAGAGCGACTGCAGAGGCTCGTCAGAGGGCGGCCGAAAAATCAATGGCTCAGAAGTTTGCGGCTGAGGGCCATGTTCGTGTAGAAAGACCTGTCTCCGATAGGTTTCAAACTTCTTTTCGATCTGCTGATATGAGGCAAAATTCTTTGGCATCTGTGAGTAGGCTTCATATTGTATATCAATAGTTTTCATCTGGCTTGTTGATTGGCTGTTTAATGTGATTCTGTTGGCTGGATTGACAGGACATCCGCTCAGAAAGCACTGGAATCTCAAACAGCTTGCGATATTCATATTCTTTCCCCCATGTTGGTATGTGATTTAAACATTGATAATAATAGCTTACTCGTTCTGCTGAGATACTCTTTTGCATTTTGCTTGAACTCTCTAGTATTTCACTTTCAAATGGTGAGTTTCATTGTAAACACACAAAGGGGAGAAGGGTTTTGAAGGTTAATAACAATAAAGAAAAACCCCTCCCCGAGCCCCTATTGTTTTCTGAAGCTTTTTACTTGAATTGGATAACGTAGGGACTGATGGTGAATCACCTCAGAGGTGTAAAGCTCGGTTAGAGAGATACAGGAGAACAGCTGAGCGTGCAGTGCGTGCCTTCTTTTCTTGCTATTCCTTTTCCTTCTTCTGATGGTGAGAAATTATGAATTTAATATCATTATGTTTCAGGCAAATGCCCTGGCTGAGAAGAACAGGCGAGATCTTCTTGCACAAAGAGAAAGGGAAGAAATGAATGTATGCACCATTCCTCGCCTCTGAGATCAATTTGTGTTATCTAGGGTTGCGTATTATCTTACAAAAATGTACTTTTGCAGAGAGTTGCAGAAACTCTGGATATTGAAGTCAAGAGATGGGCAAATGGAAAAGAAGGCAATCTTCGTGCACTACTTTCAACTTTGCAATACGTATGTTCTTTACTGTTACTTTTATATTCAAATTGAGTATATAGTTTGCTTTTCATATTCTAATCGATAGCAAACATTGGACGCTTATCCTTTTCTTTTGTTCTATTTCTATCCTATTAGCAAGTACCATTAATTCTACCACGAGAATGGAAAACTTATGCAACTAAACTGAATGCTGTTAGAGTAGTTCTCAGATTCAGTCTGTTTATATCTACCATAGACTGCAGGCTTACAATCTGTTAAGAGTTAAAAGAAGAAAAAATACAAACAGCACTGAATTTCATTTGTTTATTCTGTACCTGTGTGAAGTTGAAAAAGCTAAAAGATGCATACTTGTTTCGTTTACCTTTTTTGTTTTTTTAGTAACATGAATAAACTTTAAGTATGTTTTATATGTTTATTCTTGATCGACATGCTTCCAATACTTGCTATCATTTCCTTTAATTATCATTACCCTTCTTATTCCTTTTGTTTTATTTTTTTGAGGGATTCCTTTTTGTTTAATTAATTTCGCCTCTTTCTCGGCATTTTCATTTTTATCTTTTTCTTATATGTTTCTTCTAGATCAACATGCTTCCAATACTTGCTATCATCTCCTTTAATTATCATTACCCTTCTTATTCCTTTTATTTTATTTTTTTGAGGGATTCCTTTTTGTTTAATTGATTTTGCCTCTTTCTCGGCATTCTCATTTTTATCTTTTTTCCATGGAGTTCTTTTCGCTGATGTTAGTGATAAGCATTTTTTAATTAATCAGTAGTACTGAGTGGCTCTTATATGGTGTCTGTGTACACACCTCAGTGAATCTTCTCCAGTTTGCATGAATATAAAATCTAACTAATTAGATGAAAGAAATAGGCAGTTCATTGCACAATTAGTGCATCTCTCTCTCCCCCTATCCATCCCCCTCTAGACCCCATCCCCATTCCCTGTTTTTGTCATTTCCCTTATATACGTTAATTCTTTTTCCTTCCTTCTGTATGATAAGGCGCTGGGGGTAGGTAGTAGTCATTAATTAATATTGGTGTTGGCTTCAAATTTCATAATGATCAATGCAAATCCTATTTCATTGTATTCTTTTCAGCAATTGGCGCTTGTAAGCTTGTTGAACATAATAAAATGAAGACTACAAATTTTGATATTTCGACTTAATTTTTTGTTCTGTATTTTTTGATATGTACTATGCCTACTCATTGGCTATCTGAACGATTATATCATATAAAAGTTGGACTACCCATATGACAGATTCTTGGGCCTGATAGTGGTTGGCAGCCAGTTCCATTAACGGAAGTTATAACTTCTGCGGCTGTGAAAAAGGCTTACAGGAAAGCCACTCTTTGTGTACACCCAGACAAATTACAACAACGTGGAGCAACAATTCAGCAGAAGTACATATGCGAGAAGGTCTTTGATCTTCTAAAGGTTCGTAACTAGTATATTTAATATTTCACATTCAACTATGCCTGGCACTAATGATGTTTGATCCATCACTAAATTTTTCTGTCGGGGTAAACTTTCTAAGCTTTGTCTGTGGAGCCATTTGTTTAACAAAGTTGGCTTCTTTCTGGAAAAATAAAAAATCTGAGCTAAGAATCCTACATTTTCATTTAAATCACTGTTAGAATTTCACTGCGGATAAAACTTCAGACTTGAGACTTACTTGTACGTTAGGATCCATGGTTGCTCCAACATTTAATTATGGCAGAACTCGATATATGAAAAGAGAAGGAATTCAGAATCTTATTACACAAGATGGTGTAGTAAATGCAGTTCATCTTCAAATTTTCTGAATTTCCTAAAAGCATAAAGAGTTTGAGTTAGTGAAGATCCAACACTCTCCAAATCAACCCCATGTCCTCACAAGTGACGCCATGATTATTTGAAACTTGATATTCTAGAGCTGGTTTATAGAGGTGAATATGAAATGAATAATGTTTTTCTGTAAGTTTCCTCTTACCATGGCAAGTTCATTTGAGTTGCCGAGTAGCTTGTACGAAAATCATTTTCCACCATTATAACAAATCTTGACTCAATGAAATGAGCCAATTGATATTCTTGAATTAAGTGGTTCAAAGAATGATGTCATTCAATTAAGTGGTTAAAAAAAGCCTGTCCCTCGCATATTGCACATGTCTGGAATTACGAGATGCAATTTCAGTCCCATTCAGGTTCTATACCTAAACTTGAGTTTTTACATGTCTGACTCATACCAACTGCAACCAGTTTCTTAAGGTCCTTATGAACAAACAGTGAGCATCCTTCATCCTCTAAGTTTATCGTCAACTGTTTCGTGAAATGTTTGGTACGTCGAACGATATTAGTTCCCAGCAAGTTCTGGCTTTTCATTTTTCTAATAGTCAACGAACAACTGGGTCCAAATAAAATTATGTTTAGACTTCAGATATACACGAAACCATGTGGCATGATGTGAAATGTTTTACTGTCTTTAGTGCATCATCTAATTCTTTTTTAGGAAGCTTGGAACAAGTTCAACTCAGAGGAGCGATGAATCAAGGCGTTTTGTCTGCTCAATGACAGTGTGCTGGCAGTTCGACTTCCAGCAAGTAAATGGCTTCTTTTTGGTCTTATTATACTGTTTACTGAACTCTAGTAATGCTTCACAAAACTTGCACAAAGTACATTTGTCCATATGTTCAATGTAGAAAAAGATGGTACCAAATTTAGTAGTCCTCGAGATGATAGTTTCCCGACGTGATATTGGATGTGGAGTACTACAATCACTCCTTGGTTGTAACATTCAATGAAATATAAAGCTGAATAGCCTTATTTATTTGATTTTTTTCTCACTAGTGTTGTTTTGAGTTATTTATGGGGCCATTTCCATTTTTCATTGAGTCAAAATCTCAGTCATACATTTCGTACGAATTGATAGATATGAAAGATGAGTCTCCAATCCATGCATAATGACAAAATTTGGCAAGCTTGTTCTGATACATGTATCTCAAACCCACCATAGATCTTATCTTCTTCTTCCAAACCCTCATCACAATCAAAATCACCGAAATGCAACTTATCCTTCAAATGCTCCTTAAGTTATGAACCAAGCTCAACAAACTCATGTCAGGTGGTTTGGTGGGAATTGAATATTTTGTTTTGAACACTTCATATTTTACATTGAGCTTCTGGTTTTGATTTTTGTTTTGCAACATCACTTTTGTGGTTGAGTTGTAGACTTATATTAGAAGATAAAGAGTGTGTTTGGTAAGCAACATGATTAACTTATAGCTTATTTTTGTTAGCTTATAAGCTTCATGTATTTAAATAAGTGTAGTTTGTCAGGTGGACTTTTTTTTTTTTTAAGTTGAAGTTTATCTCATAAGCTTTATTAGTGGCTTTTTAAATAAGTCGGATGACATTTTTATTTCGGCTATGTTTGGTAAAATTAGCTGATAAGCTAGCTGATAGCTTATAAGTGAATTTCGAGCTTATAACTGATAGCTTATAACTTATGGTTGAAAAGCTAGTTAATATGATAAAAGTGTGGTAAAATTAGCTGATAAACCAGTTGAAATAATAATTTTAAGGGATTTATTTGAAAAACTAACCAAAGAAGCTTATGAGAGAAGCTCAAGCCTTTTAGAAGACTCCTCCTATCAAACCAAACTTATTTGTATATAGAAAACTTATAAGCTAACCAAATAAACTATAAACTAGCTTATAGTGCTTAACAAACACACTTTTCAACTGACTTATCAATTAATTTTACCAAACACTTTTATTATATAAGTTAATTTGTTAGTTATCAGTCATAAGCTATCAGTAATAAACTCAAAATTTACTTATAAGCTATCAATATCAGCTAATTTTTCATTTAAGTTTACTATTTACTAAACATAGTCGAAATGTAATGCACAATGAGATAAGTGATATATGCCTGTTTCTTTTTCATTTTATAAAAGGATGACACATATATTGTCCTTGGACACATATTATTTCCAAGACCTTTTCTCTTTACAGTCAGGCAGGTTTAACATTGGCCATTAGAAAGTGATTAGTCGTCAGAAAATTCACTTGCCGCCTAATCACCTGTATGCTTTATCTATAACTAACTTTAGATTCTCCGAACCACCCGTTTGCTATTTTCAACCATTTATTGTCGTTCAATATGTTTACTTTCAGATAATTATCTTACTATATCCAAAACTTTTTGCTGTCTAGTCAAGCCCACAATTTATGGAATAAATGGAGCCTACACTTGAGATATTTGTTTGTTCATCTCAAGTTGGGTACAGTTGTTTGATGAAGTTAATAGACTAAAGACTATTTACTGAAGCAAAATATATATATAGTAATTTTTGGAAGAATTTTAATCCATTTTTTGCTTACTCATTCCAGCTGGTACTCGCTGTTTCTTTAGCTTTCTTCTCGTGAAACTTTTAATCCAATTTTGCCTACTCAGTTACATGGCAAAATTCACACCAGTGTATACATGTTTAGTTCATTGTAATTTGCAAGCAAATATATGAAATAAATAGTCGAGTTCTACGTTTTGGGGTCTCTTTCAATATCCCGCCTCTTCTCCTCAAAATAGAAAAGAAGGACAAAAAAAAAATGAAGTCATTTCTTTCATGACTAATGCATTAATTATAAAAGTTGTACGTTGGAATTCTATGCTTTTTTTGGTGGTTATTTAAGAGTGTGTAAGGAATTGTTTGAAGTTTATGGAAGCAATGTTGACAAATAGGAAATGAGCTAGGTCCTACATCAGTAATTGCTGTCAGATGGAGAAAAAAATTGTACTGTACGTGATTTTTGTAGAGAAATGGGGTACAACATGGAAATAATGTATATTGAAAATATTAAGTAAATAATCCGTGTGGTGACTTTATAAAATAATGAATATTGTGGACGTAATGATTGTATCTGTGTTGTTTTATGACTCTAACTCGAGTTTACAAGATGAGTCCTGCATTTTATTAGGTCCTACGAGTCTAGTATTTTTTTTTAGGTAATAATTATATTAGTTTGGTTTTGACTTATAAATTCAACCAACAGATAGTAAAACGAGCATGATAAATGACAACAAGGCCATCTCCAGCCCTTATCTCTACTCTAGTGCGGACTTTACTCTACTCTAGAGTAGAGTTGAACATTCATCTCCAGCCCTTATCTCTACATTTTACTCTACATTAAATATATTATTTTTTTATTCATTTTTTATTTCAAATAAATTGGTATATATGTATATTTAATTTTATATAAAATGTTAATTACTCAAATAATAAAAATATATTTTATTTATTTTTATTTCGAATAATTTGCTATATATATGAATATGTAATATTATATAAATGTTTATTACCCAAATAGTAAATAAAAAAAAAAATTATGGTTTACACACTAGACCATATATGGTTTAGACCATATATGAATTAGTGCAAATTTACACACTAAACCATATATGGTTTAGACCATATCTTCACATTTAAAAAATAATTGTAATAAATTGAATTTCTTAAAGATTCGCGCTACATTTTACTCCACACAATTATTTAACATAATAAATACATTTACCAATACACATTATACAAAAATTTACCAGTAATATTACGTTAAATTACACAAACATAAAATAGAAAAATATGGTGTTTGCAAAATAAAATTATATTACATCAATAAATAAAAAGCACAAAATTATTTAACATAATAAATACATTTACCAATATACATTATGTAAAAATTTACCAATGATATTACATTAAATTACACAAACATAAAATAAAAAAAAAATGTAGCGTTTGCAAAATAATATTATAATACATCAATAAATAAAAAATATAAAATTTTTTAACATAATAAATACATTTACCAATACACATTACACAAAAATTTATCAATAATATTACATTAAATTAAACAAACATAAAAAAAAAAAATGTAGCGCGTGAACAGTGCTACGCCAGAACTGGCGCAACACTGTTCAATTCTGTATTCTAGCGCAGATTTGTGGCGTCGCACTGGATGGCAACTTTAACGCCACTTTGCCTTTTTTCTCTAGAGTAGAGATGCGTTGGAGAAGCTCTTATAAAATGACCAACATTGACATTACAGAATCATTTTATTAATAATAAATTTATAACACACGTCTATATGAAGAACTAATTTACGCATTATTAAATTCTTTTACCTTACAACAATTGTTAAGTTGCTTCAAAAAGTTATTAATTTTAATTTACTACAATATATAAATACTATTGATAACTAACAAAAATATTGCTGTGAGGTCACTTTAATGCACATAAATGTTTTGGAACATATATGCACAATAATGAGACCAGACATGCACAAATAATATTGCTGAACATTTGTCAGTTTAAAAATGATCATAAATTCAGTCATTGTACATTTGTACTAATTCTCATGTGACAGTAAATATATTTGTGACAGATATAAGAGTCCCTAGGGCACAGTAAATTCGAGAAATAGAGGTCACGCGAGCTTGGTCTTTATATATCTGACAAAACACTCGGCCCAGCTAGCTTTATAGCTACAACCCTCAACCTTCAAATCAATCACCATTTTCAGAAGAAGAAGACGACCAGGCAACTAGCATAATTTATAGCTCATGAAAAAGAGGAAAATTATTCAACGGTTCATGAATTTTTCACCCCGAATTTATTACAAGCTGTTGACAAGTGTAATGTGCATGCCTTAAAATTCGCACAATCTACTCTCACTCGGAATATGAAGAAACCATGGCTCAACAAGTGTCCACTATGGTGCGTGATTTTTGAAAGAAGTGTCTCATAGTACAATTTCAAACATCCCATTTACGTTCACTTT